AGATAGATAGATAGATAGATAGATAAATAGATAGATAGATAAATAGATAGATAGATAGATAAATAGATAGATAAATAGACAGATAGATCGATAGATAGATAGATAGATAGATCGATGTAGCATCCAGTATCATCCACACTCCACATGTGCAGCTGAAATGCAAACACTCGTAAAGCTCGGAGGTTAAAAGCGTCCTCACACAGCTCAGTGACACACGAGGGGACGTTCGAGTCCTCTGCTCCTGTTCAGCTGTGACCTGCAGTTACACACTCGTGTTGACATGTGTCAACAGACGGATGAACTCACACGCAGACACACTCGGTCTGTAACTAACGCCAGCCTCCAGGGGACGTCAGACACATCCTGCCGTTATATACGTCAACATACGTCAGTGAGCAGCTGAGAGCGGGATCTGACACCTGCAGGGGTCGAACAGGGAAATGCTTTGATTCGATGTGAAGTGAGAGAGAGGAAGACATGTGACAGATTACCTGCTGATATCTACACAATTACAGATATGTGATATTTGGATCTGCACTACATCGCACACACTCACAAATATCAGTCGTCTAAATATGCCAGATTCTTTTCATCAGGATCCACGAAGTATCAATTATCAACATCGACGACAATGTTGAATTATCTTCCACGGTCACAAAAAGTGAAAAACAATTCTGTGTCCATTCCTGACCCATAATGTATCCTTCCACCAAGTTTTGTTGTTTGGAATTTTGATGTGACTTTTTAGAATCTCCGCAGGGGATGAATGAAGTTTCTTGTTGTCATATCTTTTCTTTTCTTGTTGTTTCCTGTTTAACTTTGAAGCTTCTTTCCTTGTGCGTCTCTTTCTTTACTTCCTGTCGTTGCGTGCACCTGTGTGTCACACCTGAGTTCAGTCATCTGCCTCCTCTGAGTTCAGCTGCTGGATTTCACTTTAACTGGTTGGTTCTTTTTTATTTCAAAGTTTGTTTCTGTGCTGAACCACCTCTCACTTTCTAGAAATGTGCATCTCAGCCTTGTACAAAGTCCTGACTATTTATTTATAACTTTTCTACCTCAGCAAAGCAAAATGAAGTGTTTATGACATTTCAACTTGAATCTCCTGCTCTTATATATCGATGCTTCAGCTTCATTCATTTCACATCAGAATTTAAACTTCCCAGTTCCAGTAAGTGGGAAAACCTGAGTCAGTACAAAGCACCTGAAATCGAATAAATCCAGATGCCTCATATCTGCCAAAGACACTGTTTAATGTAACTGATCCCACATTAGGAAAATATCAAACACACTGACTCTTCTCTGGATCCACCCCACAGAGCAGCAGCAGAGGGAGGACAGGGGAGGAGTGGAGGTGAGGACACATCACTGCCGGGACGTGAATCTACAATCAAGCTCGACTGAGACACACACACTTCTGTGCAGCAGACGAGAACCTGAGGAGGATTTCCCGTCTGATAAAATGGCGAGAAGGACGTAAATTCTCGTTGGACAGATTTCTAGCTGCAGGATCGAGGGACTGAACCACAGCTGCAGAATGACAGTAAGTCAGAGCTGCTGCAGGGATTCACACACGGAAACTTTTTAAATGAAAATGTACTTTCCCACGAACATTTCTCCTCTGAAAACTGTTTCCTGTGGATGATCCAGTGCAACAGAAACAGCGAGACAATCATTTCATACACAGATTTGTCACAAGTTGAACAATTCAGACTTAAACTGCAGAACCTGCTTTGAGGGACACTTGTGAAATGTATTTTGGTGAACTTGCCCTTTAAAGAAGTGCAATGAATCATTGCATGAGCAGATTTAGACTTTTTAGACATTTGAGAGGCATAATTACCTTTTATCTTTAATATGAATGTTTTTCCATATATTGCATTAAATACACTGAAGTAAAATATGAATTGTTAAACTTCATCATGTGGTGAAACATTGTTCTTAATAATCCCATGTTATCTGATTTTTGATCCCATAACTACAGGGAATCTAGAAACCACAGGTTTACAAGTGTAAGTCGGTGTAAATGTGCTTTACACATAATTCCACAAACAAACATTTAATATGAAAAATGCATCTGTTTTGTCTTTCGTGATTCTTACTCCAGATGTTTCCACATGAACATCTGCTTCTTCACATTCTTCCTTCAAAACTTTAATATTTGACAGGAAATGTCACAAATCAACATTTTCACACTGCAGACGATTATTATTATGATTATTATTATTATTATTATTATTCAGTGATCAAACCCAGTAAAGATTGATGGTAAATCATCTTTTTTAAATCCACGAGGAGCGGAGTAGAAAATGAAAAGAAAAACATTTGCTGTGAAGTTTAAAAAACTGATCATGTATTTAATGTATTTAAAAATTGTTTATACAGAAGTAGAAAATGTTCATGTCATGTAACAGGGACATTTTAAAGGTTCAGCTGTTCTCTGGACGTGAGCCAGTGATGACAGACGTGTGTCCCAATACACTCCTCATTACACACACACACACACACACACACACCTCATTACACACACACACACACACACACACTCTGACACACAGATGAACATCTTGTCATTCATCACACTAATGTTTGTGGTCCACTGAGATCCTTTTCCATGTAGAGACATCACCAGGATATTTCTAACACACACACACACACACACACTCTCTCTCTCTCTCTCTTTGTCTTATGTAACTCGTCGTCATCTCTCAGTTGTTCTGACGGGGATCAGCGTCCCCTCCTCTTACTCTCAGTTAAACCTGAGTGCAGCAGCTGAGTTGCTTCATGAATGATCCTCCTCTGTTTTTTTCACATCATTGGGAAACTTTAATTTCCTCTTAATTAAACCACACGTCTCTGATTTTGGATGTTTCTTCAAACCAGTTGACGGATAATTGTGGATTTATCGGTTCAGAACCGGCCGATGACTTTCATAAAAACTACTTCAGCCGGTTCAAAGGGAACTTTCCTCCCTGATTTCAACATTTTAGTCTCTGGTGTTAAAACATTTGTCTCAGATCCAAATAGCTCAGTAATTAGAGCGCGACACAAACACTGAGGGCCAGAGTTCAGTTTCCACTGAGACCACCCACACTAAAAATATATGTGCACACATACAGGGATTACACACTGAGAATATGGCGTAACACACACACACACACACATGCTGAAGTTGATTCAACCGTCCAAAACTCTGCCTCTGTCTTTCTGAGTGTAGGTGTGAACAAACCTTCACGGCTCAGAGTCGTTCTCTAATGACCTGTAATGAGCCGGACTGTGTAAAGACACCAAATCCCGAGGGGGCCAGCTGTGTTGGAAACATCAGTGTTCCACGAGACAAAACAGAGATCTCTGTGTGTGTGTGTGTGTGTGTGTGTGTGTGTGTGTGTGTGTGTGTGTGTGTGTGTGTGTGAGTGTGTGTTTGTTTTAAGAGGCTATTAACAGACATATTTATAATACCCGTTGATCGGTGTTGCCAGCATCCCCATGACAACGACAATCATCAGCGCGGCGGTCATGTTACATGGCAAAGAGCTGAATGGAATTCCTCTCTGAAGAACTTTACCAACTTGGTTTATTTGTTCATCATGTTTGGAGGAAGTCATCAGGCCTTTATCGTGGCAGGATTTGTGGGATAAACAACGTCATGATCCCGTTTGTGTAAATACATCGTGAAGGAAACGTTGACCAGATCTGAGTTTTATTGTCAACGTGATGAGGAAGAGAGGTGGAAACAACTGAACATATCAGCAACGAGGACATGTTCTACCTTTAACTGCAGAGACAGTGGTAATTATCTAACCTGTAAATACGACTGAACTTCTCTTGTGTATGTTTGTTTGTGTTGGTTCAGTTCTGATCAGATTCTGCCGTCATACTATCAAAACATCTGGTTTTAGGCTACAAAATAAATCAGCCATATTTGAAAAGGGACAGACTATGATGGACAGTTTAAGACGGATCTGCCTGAAAACCGAAGTAAATGTTTGCCAGCATGAATAAGAATTGACGCTGTGGTTATGGAACATCTCCTTTTATCTTCTGTGGTTGTCTCCAGGCTGCCACGAAGCTCCTGGACGAGATGTGTCATCTGACGGCTCAGTCTCTGACACCAATGGACACATCGGAGCATTTCCAGGTCCTGAAGCTGCTCGGTGAGGGCTCGTATGGAAAAGTCATGCTGGCAGTGCACAGGAAGAGAGGTGAGGGAACTAACACTCAATCATTCAAGCTTCAGGGAATCAAGATGACACTTCACTCCCTTGTGTCCTCCAGGTACGCCGATGGCTCTGAAGTTCTTCCCTCGTGAGTCCACCTCCCTGTTCTCCTTCCTGAGGGAGTATAACCTGTCCCTGTCCTTCTGTACCCACCCCTCCCTCACCAGAGCTCTGGGAATCGCCTACTCCACGCCTTCGCACTACATCTTCGCTCAGCAAGCCAGCCTCTTTGGCGACCTCTATGACATCATCCTGCCTGAGGTACGCACTCAGTTCAGCCACTTGGTGAAATGATAATCTTCGTCATATCGGGGAATCACATCCTTCTCCCGTTGTCCGTCTCTCCACTTCCTCTCCAGGTGGGTATGGAGGAGGACAGCTGTCAGCGTGTGGTGTCCCAGCTGTGCGGCGCCCTGTCCCATCTGCACTCCCTTGGTTTTGTCCACAGGGACCTCAAACCAGAGAACGTCTTCCTGTGTGACTCCGCCTGCCGCTGGGTCAAGCTGGGAGATTTCGGCATGGTCATTATAAAAACACACGTGAAACGATAGCATGTCAGTCGCCGCCACTGTTCGCCATGTGTAGTCTGTGAGTCTTTTTAAATAACTTACAAAGGGCGCAAACGTCCACCGAGGCTGATGTCCTGTCCCTCCATGTCAAAGAAGCTCACTCTCCAGACTGTGGCGGCCGTCATATTCGGATTTATCCCGCCACGGTTTCATAAAGACCAACTTAATGTAGAACTTAATGTAGTGCAGCTGTGTGCGGCTCTAGTGACCACGTGCTCGCTCTGATCCACTCTACAATGTCGTGGGTTCTCCTTCGGGTCATGTCTCACCTCGACACACAATTTACTGGAAATCGTTTGAGGAGTCGTTGCGTAATCAAACATAACCTCCTTGATCCTTTTGCCGCAGGTGAAGGCCAGAGGCACCAGGGTCCCGGAGGTGTGGTACAGCTCCCCATACTGCACCCCCGAGGCTGAGACTGCTCGTGGAAATGAGGACAGCTGGAGCAGCATGAATGACGATGAAGAGGAGAAGAAGAAGAAGAAGGAGACAAGAGTTTGGGTTTCTGTGGAGCCCAGCACCGACAGCTGGGCGCTGGGAGTCCTGACCTACGCCATGCTCACTGGCAGTCACCCCTGGGCTGAAACAGCCAGCGACTGCCGCGCATACTTGAAATATCGCGAGTGGTTTGACAGAGCGAAAAGTCCTGAGGACGAACTGGATCGGCCAGAAGTAGGAAAGACAGACGGCCTTCCTGTGGCACCCCAGTTCGCATGCTTCACTCCGCTGGCCTGTTCCCTCTTCCTGTCGCTGCTCGACCCTCAACCCGAGCTCCGCAGACAACCTGAGGATGCGCTGAGTTACCTCGGAGGAGCCTGGATGATGGAGCAGGAGAGGAGGAGGCTGGAGGAGGAGAGGAAGAAGAGCAGAGGGAAGGCAGACATCAGAAACATGAAAGAGATGGAGGGCAGAGGGGAGCGATAAAGAAACGATAAAGAAACACTGGAGTTTATGTTTTTACTTTTCAAAAACCCATTGTACTCATTAGAACACGGTAATTGAATGTGAGCATTGTCTGCTTCCCTCTGCGGAAAGAATCATTCACTTGTCTTCTGCTTTAGAAATGTCGAGGAGACAAAACAAAAGAAATTTGAAAGCTCAAGCACTTTGCACCATTTTTGTTTTCGTCCGTTCTGCTTTTAATATGATTAACAAATTAAGATTTCACAAGGCAGAAACTGCGGGAGGCAAACTATCGTGATCGAATTCCTTTTTGACAGCTAATTAATTTCGCAGTTTTTTCATTCATCAAAACTATTTATTACAGCAATAACGGTATCTTATATACATATATATACATATATATATATATCGCATGAAAACGAATAGTGCGACAGCTGCATTTCTGGAGATTACTGGTGTTTGGCGGCGCTGTAATGCCTCCATGTCCTTGGAAAAGATTCCCTCTTCAGTGCACTGCTTCTATTTTTAGGTCTACGCTACTCAAAGTATAATATGTCATAGTAGGCCGTGAACTGTTTATAGACTGAAGCCGTAAACATGACCAGCTATATTACGACCACATCATTTCTCTGACTCTGCTTCAGGGGATTAAAAAAAGGAATATTTGAGTAGCACTTGTGTAACATTATTCCGTTGTTGAAATAGTTAGCGATTGTTGGCTAACGTGATTTCATGTCTCGCACCTTTTTGTGTTTGTTTTCTCACATTGATTACAGAAATCATGATTTAATTAGTTAAATATAACAACACATACGTTTCTGAAACTATGCGTGTTTTTGTAAAATACTTGTTTATTTATGTGAAAATCTTCCTAAAATGCAGATACCGACTTTTTGAAATATAATGGAGACACAAAAAATGTCAGCGTTTCTGGAAGACAAATATTTTAGTGGCACTTGTGTAACACTGTCAAAATATAACGTGATTTTGTGTTTGGGTGTTTATGCCTTTTCATGAATTGTTGACATATGTACAAGGTAAAATACTACATTTGTCTAATTGTACCTGTAATGCAGACAGTAAAATCACTGTTTTTGTAAACGACTTTCTTTGAATATATTTTATGAAACAATAAACTGTCATCTGCAGGTGTTCTGCAGATAAATAGATTTTTTGAAGTATGCTGACCTTAAAAAGCCTTGGCTAGTATCCTTGTAAAATGATATTCTAATGCAGTATATCACACTCACCGATGACACTCTCACACAGCGCGGGCCATCTGGACGGCTTCCCCAGATGTTTGCAAAAATAGATCCGGGGTCTTAAACTTGACACGACAACCTTTCAGCAGCGTGTATGTGCTCTGGCCCCTGGTTCTGGCCCCTGGTTCTGGCCCCTGGGCCTCGCAGTCCAGCCAAGTCACACACTGAACATATTTTGGAATGCAAATACAATCTGCTGGATATCGACAACAGAGGCGGATTAGACACACTGACACGAACACGGATACTTAACTGACACAGATCTACACACTCAGCAGCTGTAGCACTGGAACTGAATGCACTTGCATGCGATGTGCGTCGTAATATCACTCCTCCAGGTACAAGAGAAGATTTGCAATAAGCAGATGAGGAAAATTGAAACACGTCAATCTTTATTTTCAGAGCGTTGCACGTTGACCTTTGTCGGAAATGATTCAAACTAAATATAAAGCTATTTCACAACTTGTAGTCAGCTGCGTCCAGACACTAATAAGTGTCTCTGTTTTCTCAAGCCTGGGAAGGTGTCAGTACTACTGTATGATTTATCTGCCAGAAAACATTTGATCTTTGACACCTGCACAGAAAAGGGAAAGTCAGCGGCGTTTTACAGAGTGAGAGGAGGTCAGAGGAAGAGCAGGAGCCACGGAGGCCGACGAATGTTGAGCGTCTGCCCAGACCAATAAAAACCAGAGAGGGTGTAAATAACAAACCAAGGGGAAAACAAAAACAAAGGACCTGCTGCAGGATAAATCTACTCGGCCTATCTAAGGATGTAAATTCTAATCTTACCCCCAGATCAACTTAAAAATAGAAACATGACACAATCATGCAACTGAAACTCGAACCAACTGGGTTTTTATTTGCTGTCAAAACCCCACTGACATTTGCATTAGCTAAGAACTGCATGTGTTGTTGGACCTATACGAACGGTCTCATGCGATGGGGGACGTCTCCAGGTTTCAAATAAAAGCCCAGGGACGTGGAATAGATCTATATTCAAATGTGCTCAGGTTCGGTTTAGTCAAATAGAGCAGATGAGGGCGTGACAGGATGCTAATGCAGGATTTATGTACTCACACACAAATAGTACGAACATGTACTCACACATATCCCCTCTCCATGAGCACTGCTGACATACATCATCCTGCAGAGGTGTTCAGGTTTCACTCACCACTTCAAAGCAGAGAGTGACCACGAGTGACTCTAACCTTTCACCTTTGACCCCTCTGCCCCCCCCCCCCCACAGCACCCCATTATCCCAACAGCACCTAAATCACCCTCACACCAAACCGTCACGTAAAACATCAGCCAACTGTTGTTTTAATGAGGCAAAGTTCAAATAAAGACATCAGCTCGTGAAGTTATCTCCAGAAACCAGCCGGAGCCAAAACCCATGAATTCGCCAGCTTGTTAATGGGAGACAGTTTCATTATCGTATCAAAATCCCAGGGGACGGGAGGGTGGGGGGGGGGAGATCCAAACTCCTCTCCTGACATTTCACCTGATATGTTGCATAAACGCTATGTCTGGAGTGTCTCTGAGTGAGTGTATGTTTCTCTAGTCTACGCATGTGCAGGAAAGTGAGAAAAGAAAGGACAGTTGTTGACAAGAGGACACGTCATAAATATATCACTGAATATAACAGTCATAAAAAGTTAAGAGACAAAATGTTTGGGTGAAAATTCAAACATCGCTAAACGCCACAAAGTTTAATATAAACACTTTTGTATTTTGGAGGACTGCATTTCACTATTTAACTTCTGAACCCGACGATCCAACATTAAATCCAGGAGATGTTCCGAGTGTGCTGGTGTTAGTCGGTGCAGGAGGTTTTATAGAGCTGTTGCTGTGTTTGCTCACAGGACAGTGAATTAAAGACATGTCTTCCAGGAGCGGTTCAGCCACAGTGGCTCATCCTGAGGCCCAGGCGCGACCTGGACTCGAATTAGCCTGATTGGCTAACACCTGTATTGGTTTAAACCTGATTTGAGTTGAGCTTCTCTGAACTTCTACAGCAAAGTAATGGATCCACACGGTTCGGGAACACGTGGCGTCACCACACTGACGGCTCCTCGTGCATGTGAGTGCTCTGCTACATTTGTCATGAAACACAGATCTGGTTCAGGGATTCACTGACTCAGACGTTTTCTGATTCAAACCCTAAAGAGCTAAAAACCTGGAACTGTTTAATTATCAGTTCTTCTTCTTGAAACCTTATTTGGATCTGAAGGAGGTAGCAGATGTCCTGTGGCGGGTACACGTGGTTTTCTGACTGCGACACCGTCTCTGGCTCTGACTTTAAATTCTTTCTCGTCTTAGGGATCGAATAAAAAAAAAAAGTACTTGTCTGTTCAGTTTATGAAGTGCTGATGGACGAGGCTTAGATTAGACTGCTAACTAAGATTAGACATCGTGACCTACAAGTCCTCCAGGAGCGTGTTGGCCAACTGGTCCAGACAGACTGACTCTGTGATGTGACCACAATCTTTGCAGCCATTATGGAATCGATGAGGACTGACTCACTTCATGACCTCAGTACCACCGGCGTCTGTGTTTAACGTTAATGTTAGCACGCTGGAAAATAAATATAATCAGAGGTCCAGAATCATATAAGTGTGAGTTACCTGTCGAAGATTTAAATTGGATCAGATCATTAAACTCCCGATCACTGATGATAGATGAGGAACGTTCCCTGGAAAAGGAAACTGAATCTTGAGCGAGCGCTCAGGGATATCAGGTGTTTTAAGTCTGAATTTCTCTGTATTTATATTTGGCATCGGCACAGATCCAAACCGCTCCATCATCATGATACGTGTGATGTTGTTCTGGATAAATGTGCTGCTTGGTGTGGGAGTTACACACTCGTCAACACACATGCTATAGTTCATACAGACCTGAGACCAGACAGCAGACACACAGCAGCAAATTAACGTGGAGCTTAAGACAAATACCAGAAGGATAAAATGGCCTCAGAGGTAAGAAGAGGTGAAAATCAGAGGAAGATGAATCATGTTCCTGATGAAACATGGAGGCGGCCGACGCTCTGTCCGTCCAGCTGTCGGTCGCTCTCTCTTTCTGACTGTCAGCAGAGCTAAAAGCTTCTGCTCAACGTGGTCGTGGTCGGATCCCTCGGCCTCGCAAATACCTAGAGAGGAGGTTTAAAAGAAATACTGGTCGTGCAATTTGACTTAATGTGAGATTTTAAACATTTATACAGCAACTGAAAACTATTCCTGTTTTCAAATATAGTCCTGAGTAGAGAGTGGCTTCGTTTCGGGGGATGTCTGAGTCGTCCATCTTTGGAGGGGATCTGCGAGGTCGCTTCATTGGAAGTAAATACTGCGTATATAACGTTTCACTGAAGCTGCAGACCTCAACGTTAGTGACAGATCACCAATAGTGATGAATATCACAGAGCTTATTTTAGTGTTTAATGAATAACAAGCTGTGTTTCTCCTCCACTGACGTCTCTGTGTCGTAGGACAGTTTGGGGGGGGGGGGCTGTCTGACACTTCCCTGGTGGTCGGTGTCTCCCAATGACCCAGTTACATCACACATTGTCACGCGTGTCGGTAACATAACTGGTTTATGCTGCAAATCACACAGACGTGATTTGCAGCATAGTTCTGACTTGGGCCTCGTGATTGTCACCCACGTTCATTAAAGTGGAGCAGGAGAGAAATAATTAAGATTTTATCATTTATTTATCTTTGTGGATTTGTTGTTGTGTAAGTGTGTGAAACAAAGAAAGTCATCACACGTCCTCTGGAAGGATTTATTGCCTCTTTCTCATTAAATTGGTCATAAATCAAAAGTGTTAGTCCAGTGATTTTACAGCCAGAGTGGAATGAGTGAGAAATGGGAGACATTGCTTTTTTTTTTTTTTATATATATATATTTTGGCCAATATGAGAAATGTAAACACAACACACATAAACAAATCATATCAATCTGAATCTTACTGCCAATTTAATACACTTCTTGTGATTTGATCACAGCAAACCTTAAAAATCTAAGCAAACAAAATGAATTCACGGTCAAATGTTTCTGACACTTCACAAGTCAGAGTTCTGTAAACAGAGTCAGCCGAAGCCTCACATTAACATATCGTCCGCTGCCGTTGAGACATTCCTCGGGAAACAATCATCAGGTTCCCGCCTTCAGTCCTGAGACCGGTGTGTTCGGAGCTCTGCCACTGCACGCGTTCAGTAAAAGAGCGTTTTCAGATTTACATTACAGTCTGAGATAAAGAGCCAGTAGTGGGTTTATAACGTTAGACACAGGCTAATTGTTAGCCCGGTTCAAGGCTTAGTGCTAAACTACACTAACCACCTGCTGGCTCCAGGTTTATATTTAATGCTCATGAGTGACACCGATCTAACTCTCAGCAAGAAAGAAGCGATTTAGAGCTTTTCCCTCGTTTCAGTGCTTGATACTTTCCTCATGTTGTCCTCTGTCATTAGACTCACTTTGAGAACTTCTGTTAACGTTGACTCCTCCTGCATTGACTATAAATATGTATTGTGTCTCTGACTCCGCCCCGCAGAGCTGCCTTTCGTTCACTAAACATTTTTACCTCACGGTCGTCTCACAGACATGAAAAAGCAGGTCAACTGAATGCACGCGCACTTCCTGTAGCGACCACAATCCTCCCATTGCTCAATCTGTCCATACACTGACGTCAGTGTCGTGACCGTCACATTTTAACAAGATGCTGAGTCTCCTTTATTTTCCTCGAACGTAAAGCCGGTTGTATGTGGAGGAGCGTTTGCGAGGTGCAGCAACAGCATTAAATCTGGGTGATGTTAATATTCGATGCAGAAAGTGAAGCTAAGATTTAACTAACAACCACCCCCACATCACAGCTCCCCTCTGGTGAGCTCAAAGAATAAAGCTTGAGGGAATACAACTGGTTTTTCACTATTGTCTGAAAACGAGTCCAACGTTCCGGCTCTGATTCAGCTCAGTTTTTCAAATCTGCAGAGTTTTGAAAAAAAGGTCAAGTTAACTTCGATGAGACGCCGTCTCCTCAGGAGGAAGAAATTTACATCGTTCCAATTCACTTCGTATTTGGCAAATTTCTGCACTGCAACAAAATTAGCTTTTAAAGCACCTAGTGAACACAAATATATGTGTATATATATATATATATATATATATATATATATATATATATATTATATCTAATAAAGATAATAAAATCGAATCTGAAAGTTTTAAATGACATTATCATAATGTCATTTAAATCACACTTTGAACCAACAGCAGAAATTTTAAGTGCAGACATTTTGAGACACTTGATTCACATGGTAAAGTTTCCTCCAGTCTTGAGCTGACGACTCTAAAATTCACAGTGAGAGGTTAAGAACGAGAGAGTGAGTCTGAAAATGTTGCTTCTCTTTGTGGAAAAACTTGCAAAGTGTCTCTGATTTTGAGGATTTTACTGAAACGAGATGTCATTAAATCAGCCAAACCTCAAATTCAGTAGAAAATAAACTCAGCAAAAAAAGAAACGTCCTCTGACTTTCAACTGTTTTTACTTTCAGTAAACTTAATGTGTGTAAATATTTGTATGAACACTAAAAGAGTCAACACCATAAGACATAAACTAAAAATGTTTCACGGACATGTGACAAACAGAAATAGAATAATGTGTCCCTGAATGAAGGGAGGCTCAAAATCAAAAGTACCAGTCAGTATCTGGTGTGGCCACCAGCTGCTTGAAGTACTGCAGTGCAGCTCCTCCTCACGGACTGGACCAGATTCGTCAGTTCTTGCTGTGAGATGTTACCCCACTCTTCCACCAAGGCACTTGCAAGTTTCTGGACATTTCTGGGGGGCATGGCCCGAGCTCTCACCCTGCGATCCAACAGGTCCCAGACGTGCTCAATGGGATTGAGATCCGGGCTCTTTGCTGGCCGTGGCAGAACACTGACATTGCTGTCATGCAGAAACTCACGCACAGAACGAGCAGAATGGCTGGTGGCATCGTCCTGCTGGAGGATCATGTCCGGATGAGCATGCATAAAGGGTACCACATGAGGGAGGAGGATGTCTTCCCTGTACCGCAAGGCATTGAGATTGCCTGCAATGACAACAAGCTCAGTCCGATGGTGATGTGACATACCGCCCCGGACCATGACGGACCCCCCACCTCCAAATCCTTCCACGATAAACACGAATCCGTCCATCACCCCTGGTGAGACAAAACCGTGACTCAGCAGTGAAGAGCACTTTTTGCCACTCCTGTCTGGTCCAGCGAAGGTGGGTTTGTGCCCATAGGCGGCGTTGTTGCTGGTGATGCCTGGTAAGGACCTGCCGTATTACAACAGGCCTACAAGCCCTCAGTCCAGCCTCTCTCAGCCTACTGCGGACAGTCTGAGCACTGATGGAGGGATTGTGTGTTCCTGGTGTGACTCGGGCAGTTGTTGTGGCCATCCTGTACCTGTCACGCAGGTGTGATATTCGGATGTACCGATCCTGTGCAGGTGTTGTTACACGTGGTCTTCCACTGCGAGGATGATCAGCTGTCCTTCCTGTCTCCCTGTAGCACTGTCTAATGCACGTTCACGCAGATGAGCAGGGACCCTGGGCATCTGTCTCTGGGTGTTTTTCACAGTCGGTGGACAAGTCTCTTTAGTGTCCTGCGTTTTTAGAACTGTGACCTTAAATGCCTACTCTCTGTAAGCTTCCCACAGGTGCATGTTAATTAATTGATTATGGTTAATTGAACATGCATGGAACATTGTTTGAACCCTTTACAATGAAGATCTGTTAAGTTACATTATTGTTGAAATACACAGTCCTGAAAAAGCGACGTTTCTTGTTTTGCTGAGTTTAGAAGGCGGGTATAGAATTCTATGATTATAAAAAGTGCAAATGCTTGAACATTAAAGAACTAGGCCCACTTTGACTGTTTGCACTTATTCAGAGAGCGCAGGTCAAGTCTGGAGATAGTACTCTGCAGGGCCTGCAGGGGGAGCTGCCGCTCTGACAAAAACATTCCAGATGAAAGCTAAAGCTCTGCTCACAGCGCCATCTACTGGCGAGGAGATGTCGACACACAACAGAGGAACACCTGCTGCTCGGGACGTCACACGTAGCCCTTAAATATTGTTGGAAATGGCTCATATCATGTAATGGCTTTGACACAGTGATGTTTAACTTTCCTTTCAGGAACATCTAAAGAACCACGACTCTTTCCGAGTGAAATTCAGGAACCGATTCTCTTTTACAGATCTGTGGTGTTTTCCTGCCTCTGCTGGATCGGGGTGTGGGAGTTACACTCGGTGTGATGCACGGGAAGCTACAGACACAGATGGGATGGAAATCACAAGCGACGAAAGCATGGAGGGCTCAGAACTGGATCCAGTTTGTGGAGTTCTGTGGTCGAGATGGAGGTGGAACAGAGCTGAAAACACAAAATCCTGATGTTAGTGTTTTCTTACATATTCTCCTTTAACAAACTACAGTACAAATACTTCCTCTCAGGCAGTTAGAGGATTTAAGACACAGTTTAATTGAGTTGTACCTTGCAGGAGCAGAGAAGTCTCCCCACAGATCTGAACCCGGGTTTGACTGAACCACCGTGTTGGAGTTACTGCTGTCCAGCTCCAGCAGGCAGCCTGACAGAGAGGAAGAGATCAGAGCTTCTTCAAGGTAGATCACACACTGACACACATTCTGTTCATTTCATGCAGCCTGAAGCTCAAAGACAATTAACAATTCAATTAACCCAGTGACTCAGAAAACAGGGCGGCAGGTTAAAGCTGCACAGTCTTGAGTGACGCTCGATCCTGAAACCTCGATGTGTCCACATGAAATTCTCACGTTGGCTATGATCCCTGTTATGAAGCTTTAACGTAACGTAGTTTCATGGAAGTAGCGTCTACCTGTCGCTGTGTCGCCTGTCTGAGGGACGATGTTGTGATTGGATGAGCCGGACAAAGGAGGAGGGGCTATCTTGCCTCCAGGTGGTGGTGGGAGGAGTCCAAACCCACCTGAGCTGGGTGGGCGAGGTTTATCTCTTTTTTTACCTTGCTGGAGATAGAGAAGGAAAAAAGAACTTATCATTTTTAAAGAGCCCATGAAAGTCAATCATAATTTAAGATTTGTTTAAACTACTTGTAACCGGTCCAACAGAAAAACTACTAAATAAAATATTATTTTCAGAATGCGTTCTGAGAAATGATGTTGCTCGTCTCTCACCCCTATGTTGAGTGTGATGGTCTGTCCCTCCTTAAAGCCCAAGTCCAGTTTAGGTCCTGAATCCCCGAGCTGGGAACTTTTACGGAGTTCATTCTCCTGTTTGACCCATCTGCAGGGACATGGACACACACTCAGCCATGATACAGAAATAAACAATGCGTCTCTGCAGTTTTCAGGACAACTACAGCATGTGGCCTTTAAGCTGCAGATCTCAAAGCAAAGAAAAACTTCCCTCAAACTGGCTTTTGATGAGCAAATGTATCTCTGCAGGAAAATACCACCGCTCTGTATTTTAGAACCAAACTTTCAAAAGTACACGAGTCAAAGAAATGACTGAAACTATCGCCACCACATCAGAACACGTCTTACTTGAAATGATCCTGCAAGGACACGTTAAAGTCAAAGGCGTCTCCTCGGTCCCCAAAGCCGACTCCGATGAAAGCGCTGCGACCTGAGGACAAGGCAGGAACGTGAAACACCCCGCGTGTTTAACAACGTTGGGATTTAGGCATCGTTAGTAAATATTTTCTCGTCCTCACCGTTGTCGTCCTGTATCCGCAGAACAAAGTATCTGCTGGAGTCGCTGACTGTCTCCACCGCGACGCCGGGATACTCCTGAACTGGTGCCTGAGCAAACAGCTCACCTGCAGCCACACAGGACAGGGAACAGAAAGAGAGACTGTGAACACATTACATCTTTTCATCCGTTCTGTCCGAGCTTATCCAGGTTAGAGCTGCAGGGGCCAAGAGATTATTCAGGATTCACCAGAGAGGCAGAACATCAGTCAATGCAGGTTTAAGTTTCATAAAGAATAAAGTCGTACCTGAGATTTTGTCCTCCAGTTTGATGTAAGCCACTTTGCCCTTGGCTGTGATCCTCATTCGACCGGACCAGTCTGGAGCATCAAGCTTCCAGTCAGCAGCCCTGCAGAGATGGGTTGATGCCAACATGTTAGCGCGAGAGTCATTATCGATTCATGTGCTGATTGTTTCTCTATTGATCGATGGTGTAAAATCTGTGGAGGCGATTCTGTAAAGACATAAATGACAAACACCCTCCAGTCAACTGTTCGACAATATACTGACAGTCAAATCAAATCCCACCAAAACTTTGAATCTGCACTTTACAACACACGTGTGAAGCCGATGAGATGAACAGTTCACAAGAAATGAGTTCCACATGCAGACAGATTACATTTCACATTACTTCATTACTGCCTGGGACTAGGGATGTCAGGATTAACTGGTTTTACGATAACCGTGGTTTGATAATGTCACAATTTCATAAGAATTGTAAAAACTAAGACTTAACGTCCTTATTTCCACCAACGCTGCACAAACAGCTCCATCGGAGGAGTTCACAGCGAGAGGAGAAATCCTTGTTTACTTTCGGTTTCTGACCAGGGGGGTGTGTGTCAGGAGCAGCTCGTAGTTCGTTCTCTATATTATTAGCGATCTATATATTGCTCGTCGTGAGTCTTTTTTTTCTTGTATAGTATTGATAATCGTGAAAGCCGTTATATTTCCTACGGACAATCGTGGCACCAAACTTTCATATCGTGACATCCCTACTTCTGATTTAGTTTGAATTGTGTAAATTCCAATAATAAACAAATCCTCTGGGCACCAACAGTCTCCTTTACACAGTGTCCATACAGTTTTATTTTGAAATGATCATCGGACTCGAACGTGTGCCCTCAGGTTGAGACGGTGTCGGTGGTGTGGTCCTGGCTGCCCCCGGTATGATGACAAGTATCCCGGTAACATCGGAAACAACGAACGGTTAAACCGTCACGCGCGCAAACACACACACGAGGATCCATGTCACGACATGAGGCCGGTGTTCGATCCTCGTATGTGGAAACGTGTTGGTGCAAACCGGTGAAAGTGAAACACCCGCACCGAGGACACCGAACACCGTCACACCACGCGAGAGGCTCCGTTAGCGACTCCCGGTTGTTCCCGTGTCTCACCTGTAGGCGCGGTTTGAAGCGCGCGGCGGGATCCGGTAAACGTGCACATCGGGTTTAACGCACAGGATCGACTCGTACTCTCCCTCCGCCGCCATCTTGGCTCCACTGTTATTGATGTGGGAGTTGTGACTCATTTATTCAGCGTGTGTGTGTGTGTGTGTGTGTGTGTGTGTG